ACTTCCCTCTGGAGAGCCATCAGATGACTGGTCATTCAATATGTGTACCCATTCGTCAGGCAGTTCCATTGCTACAAATGCATCCTGAGGACAGCATACTTATGTTCATGAAAAAGATAATGTTCTATGCATCAGCTTTTATATTGTCCATGATACACAAGGGCAAGTTACAGAACAGCATGTATAAACTACAGTCTTTTCATATAATGGAATACCAGTCAGCAACAAAACAGAATAAATTCATGATACAAACAAAAACATGGATAAACATCCAAAACATTATGCTAACTGGAAGAGGCCTTATACAAAAGTACATACTTGATGAGTCCATGTATGTGAAACTCTAGAACAGAGGAATAAAAATAAGTAGAAAAATCAGAGCAGTGTTTTTGCCTCTGGGGGCAATGGGAGGAAGTAGGAATTGGCCGAGAAAGGGTGAGAGAAAACTCCCTGGGATGTTGGTAGTGGTCCCTGTAGGAGCTTGGGTACATGGGCATGTGCATTTGTCAGAACCCAGTGAACAAACAATTAAGATGTGTGTACTTCCTTGTATGTAATCTTACATCAAAAGACAAAAACAATAAACAGATCTCAGTATGTGTGCTGAAGAATTTAAAGGCAAGTGTACCGTATCCTCTGTCGCACCAAAAATGAGATGGATTAATGGACGGAGAGGCAGAGATGTGATAAAGCAAATGCAATCAAATGCTGATGGTGGAACCTAGGTGGTGGGATGCAGGAACTTACTCTAAAATTCTTTCAACTTTGTTGAATGTTGGAAAATGCTGGAAAACAGATGTTTAAAAAAAAAAAAAACCACAGCTGTGGTGTGTATGGCAAATTCTCTTGTGGTAAGAAAAAAACTGAACAAAACCCAAGGGTAGATATTGGTTGTGCACGTGTGCTGGGCACATTCTGGATGCAGAGGAGCAGTCAGCAGTGGTCAGCAGTGGAATGGGGTGACAGGACAGACTCTTAATTTTCCATTACACACATCTGTATTGTTTGGGATGTTCCAGTGACTGTGACTCCTAGAACAAAATAAATCAGCATGATTCAATTTTCTCTAAGAGGTAAATGTGAACATGTTAATGGTTATCTTAGGTTTGGGGGTAATTTTTACTTGTAATTTTCTGTACTTTTAATTTTTTATGGTAAATATGTGGGGAGTTTTCTAATTAGAAAAAAAATTAATGTATTTCCATTCTCAGAAACAATAGCATCCAACAGTTATATGATAGTGTACAAGGTTACACAGTTGAGTTTTTTTTAACGTTAATTAATTTGTTCTGCATAAAAATCTTGAAGCCACTCACTTTCAAGAGCAACAGGAAAAAAAAGATATATGTGAAATATTAGAAATTAATCTTATACCGTATTCACTTGTTGACACATTTATGGATTATCAAAACTATATATTAAGGCACCCTTCTAAGTACTGGGGGCACACTGATGAACAAAATAAGAGAAGTCCTTGTACTCATTGAGCTTATCTTCTATGATAAAGACAAGCAATAACAAATATATAATAAGGTAGCAAGAAATGTTATTTTTAAAAAGCAGGGTATGCAGGTAGAGAATGAAGGTGCTATTTTCCTTAGGCTGGTCAGGGAAGGTAGAAGAAGTCCAAATAAAACAAAGGAGTAAACCTTCCAGTTATCTGGGGCAGGAGTGTTGCAGGCTGAGGGAACAGCAAGCGCAAAGGCCCTGAGGTGGGGCTGTACCTGGCGTGTTGAAGGAGCAGGAAGTGTGTCAGGGTGAATAGAGCTGGGTAAGCAGAGTGAGAGTGAGGAAGTGAAGTTAGAGCAGTGACTGGAAGCCCAGGGCAGGGCCTTGGGAGGCTAGGCAAGCACCCTGCATTTCATCCTTCATGGCAGGAAGCCTCTGGAGGGTCAAGATGAAATGACTTATCACAGCATTTCCTCTTAAAAGGGTTGCTTTGCCTGCTGGGTAGAGAATTCCTGGGAGAGGAATAGGAAGCACAGGCAAGAGTGGAAGCAGAGACTGTTCTGGAAAATGTGAGAGACACTGGGGCCTGGCCTAGGGCGGTGGCCTCAATGGGGTGACTCTGCCCCCCAGGGACATTAGGCAGTGTCAGGAAACATGTTTGGTTGTCACAACTGGGGTGTGGTGCTGCTGGCATCCTGTGGGTCGAGGCTAGGATGCTGCCCTTACAGCAAAGAATGATCTGGCCCTAAGAGTCCTTAGTGCACAGCTGAGAAATCCTGGCCTGGAGGGTCAGCAGGCAGGCAGTAAGCAGTGGTCTGGTGCTGTGTAACTGTTCACTCGACGTTTGGAAAGGGCAAGTCGGACAAAGAAGATTCAAAAGTGGCCAGAGCCTGTTGATGAGAGCTCTAGCACCAAGAGTAAGCACTAACCGACTGCCAGCTGTTGTGTTTATTGTCATAATTACTAATATCCAATTTTGTGGAATTGTCAAGCCACTTTTATTGCCTCTGATTTTGTCTGGTGCGAAGGAATAAATATTGGCTGATGTACAATTTGTGGATTGTCAGTCACTGGTTTATCCATGCTGCTCTTAATGCATATAACCATATCATAGATATTTTAAAGTTGCATCATGGCCCTATTTTTAATTTCCTACTTAATGGAACTTTATATTCTCAGCAGATTTATCATAATACCTATTTCCCAGTTAATAATTATTTTTATAATTTTAAAGTCTAATTCCAAAATGTGGTCAGCAATGAATCTGGTTTTATTAACAATTTTTCTCTTGATTTTAGGTAGAATACTCTCCATTGTGGATGAGACACTGAGAAAGTCTGGATTCTGTTATCTTCCTCTGAGGAGTATTTAGTTCTGTTCTTGTAGATGGTTTAATTGATTGAGGTCTCTTAGCTGTAGGACTGGTCTCCTTTGATTTTGCTCCTAGTTCTGGGGTGAGGCTCTGAATCCTGGACCATGGTTGTAACTGAGGCACCACCCCACAGGGTGTCAGTGGAAAGCCCCAGGTGTTGATAGCCCCCTAACGTGGCACTGGCTGTCCCCATCTGCATGCATGTCTGCTAGTGAGCAACTGTGGAAACCTCTGCCCATTGTGTTCAGCACTTCAGCTCTTGTGTCCCCGGGCCTCCTCGGGGTCTGGGCCCATGCCTGTGCAGTGTCGGGCTCAGCCCAGGGTCCTAGGAAAGCTTGCTCACAGAGTTGGACTCCTCCTTTCTAAGGCTTCCCCTGAAGCTCCTGGCAGCCTGGGGTTCTGATCTCCTTTCCGTTGAGCAGTGTCCCCGGCGCTGTGTGAATTGGGGAGCACGCCTGGGAAAAGCTGGTTAAGGCAGACCTTGTTATTCTTCTTTTAAGGGTCATGGCTTCCCTTTCTGCCTGTATTTGTTTGCTCTTTGGTGCTTTCAAGTGGTTGTTTTTTATATTTTGTCCAGAGCTTATTGTTGTTATTGACAAAAGGATTAGTCTGGCACAGACTATCATTATGGGAAGGCAGAGGTCCAGTCAGTAAGTGCGTTACAGAGAGAAAGATGACAGAGCAGCCCTGTTTGCATAGGCCTCAGAATTGGACTGGAAAATGTTTCCTGTAGACCATTTCTATCCACGGAGAGATCCTGATTCACATGGAGCCGCTGTCAGAGCTGCACGTGGGCTGGTTCGGCGGTTGCGGTGATGCACGGTAGCGGACAGGCCGAGTTCTCCGCCAGAGGAGTAAACAGAAGGATTTGTCTGGAGGGACTGACTGGCCCGGTGGAGCAGCTGGTCAGCCCAGCCGTTTGTGCCGGTGTGAGAGGGCCTCTGTCTGTGTAGGGCAAACACAGCCCTCATTTATGTTTCTTCTGCTCCGTGAATAGAGAGCACCGGCCGGCGCAGCCACAGCCAGGAAGATAACTTCCTTTGCTGGCTGAGCGAGGCGTTGCTCCCCGAGGCCATGAGCCTGGCGGGGCAGGGTGCACAGAGTCCCCTCTTCCCCTACCCCCACCCTCCCCCCGCTGGAGGGCTGCATGTTGGGAGCCAGTGGCCCACCAGATGCCGTCTTCACGGCCTTGTCTGTCGTCTTCCAGCCTCTGGGTCTCTCTCTGTCTCCTTGTCTTTCTCCCCCACCTCCACCCACCCACCGTACACGTCTCACTCCATGTGTCCTGAATGTGGCCGGTTCCTTGTACTCGTCCCCTCCCTTGAGCCCACTGGTATTCTCTGACCTTCCTCCACTTCTCACATCCACTAGTGATACTAAAATGCATTTTGTGGGTGTATTTGCTGTGTGCCTGATGCTGTTTTTATGGAGGGCGTTATTTGTTCTTAATTTTTAAAGCCAATGAATTAAATGTTTTACATTTCTCCTGCGACTGATACTAAGTTGCCTCTTCACTCCATGCTACCATTGATTCTGTCCTGCTGTGTGGCAATAGCCCTGACAGGAAGAAAGAGATGGTCTGAGACCTCCTGTTGGTGCACACAAATTAGGTGAAGCCTGGACAGTCCCACCCTAGCCCTCCAGGATGGCTCTGCAGTGAAGATTAAGTCTCGCAGCTCTGACTCCTCTGATTTTATGATAATTAAAAGGATACAATTGAATTCACTTTTGTCTTCTCTCACGAATTTCTTTTGTGTGCCTGGGGGTGGTTCGCTGATTCTTCCATCACTCTCCCCAGCTTGCTTGCTTAAGAAGGAAAAATAGAAAAGTGGAGCCTGTTCATCATCTGGGTGGAACCTTCCTGTCCTGTGGAATCTTGTGTGCACATGCCCCCAGCCCCTACCACAGTGGGGACTCTGCCCCGCCATCCCGCAGACTTGTTTCTCTCCTTCCACTGAAGACCTGCGGTTGCAGCTCCGTGTTCCTGCCCCTTTGAGAGGCTGCAGGGAGATTTTCTTCATAAACCTAAAAGCTGACAGAATTAAGAAAAACAGGGTTTACTTTTTCACCGTGGCAATCCCCATCCTCACCTTCCTCTCTTTGCTTTTTCTGTGGGACTGTTGCACTCTCTTGTTAAATATCCCATTGCTGTGATTCACTTTCTTTTCTTTCTCTGCAGGTTTTGCATGCAGAAATGCGTTAGTCTGGTGCCTGGAGTCACGCTGGATTTGATAGAAAAGTAAGTCAGCTTTTTAAACTATATGGCTTCTGGTGTGAGGGGAGTCTCCTTTTTTCACTCTTGGTTCTCAGAAGTACTTCCGGTCCGCACAGGTTGTTTCCCTTTCATGTGGGTGTGTTCCTTTGTTCTGATTAAGGCCATGTTTGTGATTGTTACATAGAACACAGCTAAATTTGGGGCCATATTAAAATGAAAAGAATAAAAGCTGAATCCTTTTGAACATTTAAAAATACTTCCAACACTGAGCCAAAGTAAAAACATATCGTTACACATACAGACCAATCACTTCACATACAGGTCATTGCCATACAGATCCATCACTCTGCACATAGAGATCATCACTTTGCTCCCCAGCTGCAAACGTCAGGTCACAGTTTAGCATCTTCCCAATGTTCTTCAATGTTCCCTTTCACGTTCTGCAACCTTCCATCCCCCCACCCCCAATTTTACATTCTATCTCAGGGCAGATGCAGTGGTCCATGCAGGAGGGGTCCTTCATGATGTGCTGCGGTTGCTCGGCCTCTCCTTGTCCTCCCAGGTCACAGGGCTGGCTTGTCTGCTCCTGTCGTGAGCCTCTTTGGGTCAGTACACCATCTCACAGCTCTAAACTTGACCTGCATTTTTTGTTTATTTGTTTGCGTGTTTATTTCATTCATCCTGATTCACCTAGGTAGTTCCTAACGCTTCTGTTCCGAACCCCGTTTCTTCTAGAATTAACATGCAAATTGTTTCCAAAGTCTTGATATACAAAATCTTGTGCTAAAACAGCTAAAGCCTGATTTTAATTACATTAGGCAGGAAAGGCAAATCTTCTAGTTTTCTCTCCTGGAAAACAACTTGCCTGTGTGTCAGGGGAAATACACAAAAATATCATGCCTGAACACCCACTGTAAGGGCACAGTGGACTCAGTCACGTGCATTCTCACGGGCAAATACAGAAAATGTGGTGGCTACCCTTGAACTGACAAAGTGGCCTGTCGGACATGTTGTTAAAGACCAACACCCATGGTGGGCTGCCGAGCACATGTTTGAAACCGTGCATAACTTGTGTGTGTGTGTGTGTGTGTGTGTGTGTGTGTGTGTGTGTGTACATATCAACAAGGCATGAAATGAAATAGTTACACTTCACTCTGGGTAGGAAAGTGGAATTTGGAGCAAGAAGCAGGGAGGAGCAGTGTTAGGGACTGATTTTTTTCCATCTTGTTTAATTTTTTTTATAAGAATATAGACATGTAAAACATAGGTACAAGTAAATTTAAAAGAAAGAATCAACAAAATACAATTAGGATACCTGCAAACGGTTCATCGAGTATAATTTCTTCCATTAAATTTTGGATAAATGTTTAAGGAAATCATGTGACTGGTCACTGCATCTGTTTGCTTCAAGATGCTTTTGTCCGCAAGCAAAATGGGATATTGTGACAAGAAAGAATTAGTGTAACATTGATCAGTACCAGCAGGTCAAATGGGAAGACCTGGTGGTCCCCTCTGCTCAGAGTGGGTCTTGGTTACCACTGCCCAGCCTACAGCTGATTCTTGGTTACCATTGACCAGCCCACATCTGGGTCTTGGTTACCACTGACCCACAGTTGAGGAGACTTTGAAGCCATTGCTGGAAAGGCAGTGCTGGCTGAGGCAGGGCCGGAGGATGCGCTGATAGATTGGCACTGCAGGCTGGGTGGGAAGCAGCGGGAACTTGAGGTCGGGATTGGGACCAGCAGCGGAGCTGTGTTCGGGGAGCTGGTTGTGCTAGCTCGGTCAGAGCAGGGACCGTAGACTTCAGTGTGTCACATTCGCAAGGGTCAGGGAGGGCGGAGGTCTGGCTCTCCGTGTGCCCCCACCCAACCCCCATATATAGTGTAAGGCACACCGGTGACTCTTGCTCATTTTCGAAACTGTGATGCTCTGGGCATGTGCAGCTGCTGGTTTTCTCCAAATCGGAGTGCTGGTGCAATCTGGTGTCAGGTGGTGGGGAGAACGTGTTGTGGCCTCATGTCCCCAATCCTGTCTGTGCTGGGCAGCCCGGTACCCCAGGGGTCGCTGCAGTCAGGAAGCAGAGGGCCAGGTGGCCAGGCGCTGAGTACTTTTTTAACTGGGCTCCACGATTGCCTTGTCCTGGTCACGCTCGCACAGCTTTCTTCTAGAGACAGAAGGCTCAACGCCCTGCCGCTCAAGGGAGCTGCTCCTCCCCGTTCTAAGCCAGCTTCACCTCCAAGGTGGGCTGAAACCAAGAAAACCATTCACAAGTGCTGGACAAACAAGGCAACCATCGAGAGACATCACACGGAGAGAAGTTAGAAAATAAGAAAATGCTAGATCTGCCTGGTTATCCGGCCTGTTTGGTTCGATTCCCTGATGAGATTTCAGAGTTTGGAAGCCATCCCATCAGAGTTCGCTCACCAGCACTGCTGTGCTGGGTCTGTGGGTCTTTACTTCTCTCCATTTCTGAGTGACAGAGCCTCTGTTACCTGTACCACAGATCTCCGTAGACATGTAATTCTCAAACCGTTATCCATTAAAACTTCGATAAAGTTACATTCTTTCCTAGCGAGGTGACTTCTGGTGACCAGTTCAGACAGTTCTTGTTCTGTGTAAATATTTTTTGAGCAGGGCTGGGTTGTCTCCTTCTCCCACTGGGTGGGGCGGCTCGAAGCATGAACGCAGCCCAGACCCTGTCTCACATGCTGGGTGGTGTACCCTCCTGGTCACTCAGCATGTTTGTGACCGTCCCTGACTGTGCTGTGCTCGTATGGTGCAGGTGGGCCCAGACAAACAGTGTCACGTGTTCCGAGTTCTCCAGACTAAAAAGAGCTGTTAAAAATCACATAACTTAAAAATATATTTTTTTAGGTTATTTAGTTAAACCCCCTGATATTACTGAAGAGGAACCTGGCTTTGGTTTGGTTCAGCTTCCTCGGTGACATTTCCTGCCTGACGGTCAGGTCTCTGGACGTCTCTCTGTGGTCTTTCCCATACACAGGCCCTCCCTTTTCCAGACTTTGGTATCCAGACAGCCAGCTCCTATCCTGTCACATTCTCAGACTTACAGTGTGCACAGCAACTTGACACCCTAAGCCTGATCCACAAAAGAAAAGAATTGGCAAATTGGACTTCATCAAAATTTAAACTATTTACTCTGTAAGACACTGCTAAGAGAGAGAAAAGATAAGCTACAAACTTGGGGAAAATATTTGCAAATCACATAGCTGACAAAGGACTTGTATCCAGAATATATGAAGATATCTCAAAACTCAAAAATAAGGAAAAAAAAAAAAACAAATTTTAAAATGGACAAGAGACACTTTACCAAAGAGAATTTAAGGTTGGCCAATAAGCACATGAGAAGATGTTCAAAATCATTAACTGTTAGGGAAATGTAAATTAAAACCACAGCAAGACACCACTGCACACCTATTAGAATGACTGAAACAAAAAAAGGCTGGCGGTACCGAGTGCGGTGAGAACTGGGATGGCAGGACTCCCACACGTTGCTGTGCAAAGGCAGAATGGTGCAGCCACCCTGGAGAAGTGCGTGGCTTCTTGTCACTTTAAACATACCTTAACGGGCTTCCCTGGTGACGCAGTGGTTGAGAGTCCGCCTGCCGATGCAGGGGACACGGGTTCGTGCCCCAGTCCAGGAAGATCCCACATGCCGCGGAGCGGCTGGGCCCATGAGCCATGGCCGCTGAGCCTGCGCTCTGCAACGGGAGAGGCCACAGCAGTGAGAGGCCCGCGTACCGCAAAAACAAAACAAAACAAAACAAAAAACATACCTTACCATATGTCCCTGCAGTCCCAGTCCCGGGGGTTTACCCTAGAGGAATGAAGACTTAGGTTCATACAAAGTCCTGTACAAGCATGTTTATAGTAGCTTTGTTCATCACCATCCAAACCTAGGACCAACCAGAATGTCCTGGGGGTGAATGGATAAACAGGCTGTGGTGCATCTGTGCAGAGGAGCACCACCTCCAGGGGGAAGGGAGGCCCTCGGGTCCACAGCCACGAAGGGTCCCAGAGGTCCTTCATGGAGTGAAAGGTGACACAGATCTGGTTCTATTCATGTGGCAATCAGGAAGACACAGAACTGCAGGGTCAGAGAACAGGACTATAGAGAGAGGCTATGAAGGTGATGGAATGTTCACTATCCTGAGTGTGGGGCTGGTTCCACAAACCTACACATGCTAAAATCATAGCGCCGCATACCCCAAACCAATGTACTGTATGACAACTTCAAAAATAGGATTAATATAGAATGTGGGGGAAATAAGATACCCTGTAAGAGATACAGGTCAGAATGACTAAAGGAAGTCATAGCAGAAACACCTGAACCCGGGAAGTGGGGACCAGAGGAAATGGAGAACAGAATTTGAGAGGGGAGTGGTCTTTCTACCATGAAATGTGCTCCATTGTTTCTTGGGGAGAAATCTTTATTCTTACTACTTAAACTGGCTAATGAGGATTGAAATATAGAAGCAAACACCCTTATATAATAAGATTTTAGTATTTTTCATCAAGCACAATTTTCCTAAATCAGGACTTCAGAGTTTGCAGCCACCAGTGTTCCTGGAAACACCCAGTGTTGACCCCTCCCCTTCCCCAGGGCTAAGTGACTTTCTAGCTGGTGAGTCTACACTTTGGCCTATGAAGGTTGTTTCACAGGGTCCTCTTTTCTCCATTTCCCCATCTCCTGTGCCAGGTGATACTACAATGCTGGTGAAATGCTAAAAGACTGGGAGTCTGTGTGTTTTAATTTAAAAAGAAAAACATCATTAATAGCATCCTGAGTGGGAATGGAGGCGAGGAAGGGGATGTGGTGGAACGACTGCAGATGGACCGACGTGGCTGGGGTCCTGGCCTCACCCTCAGGAGTCACACTCGCTGGGCACACCCCTGTCACGCCCACATCTGTCCCTGTCACACAGGTCGGACTGAGGAGCATGTGGTACTGTCGGCTCTGTGGGCGTCAACCCACAAATACTTCTGTGGTTTTACCACTTTCC